TCTGATGACGAATCCGCGACGGATCTCGAAACGTCAGGCGAATAAAAGTTTTGTCTCAGCGATCGATTCGTCTTCTTTTCACTTCTTAATTCGTTTTGTGTCGCTATAAATTAGAGAATTACGTCTTCATCGAATGATATGCTCGAAAGGAGTACCTTACGGTTTGTAAACTCCATATTGTGTACGTTCCGCGTAAGGAGAATTATGTATTTATCAACACTATTAAAAGACGTTGCATAGGTTTCAGCAAATCTTGAAATGTGAATCGTGTTGTATAAGCAGCATTAATAAACTTACTGATGCAATGGACATGCCCCGGTGTTCAAAACTTCATGACACATTTATAAAACCGAAAGATAATTTCCTTCCAGCATGAAACTCCAAGAAGTCGTAACTCTTTACCAGATGAGTACAATAGTACTTTCATGCATGTTTTCTATAATATATATCTGAATTTACAGGGATTATAAGATAATAAATGCATACTACTTAAGTAGCAATATCCAATGTCATAAAAGGTTAGCCATGACTTTGGAGGACGTTTTCGATTAGGAAGGATTACTTAAGTGGAGTTGTAAGAATGTTTAGCTTTCTGCATAATTACAAGAGGTGCCAGACATGCCGGCTTTTAATGCACATCTTTCCATTCAACCTCGGTAAAAATGACCACTTAATTAGCGCGCTTTTCCTCCTTGATTTTCCATGGCCTTATCAGTTCCCGCATATTGTACAGAAAAAGGTACACAAAATATCTTATTTATTTTACTCATTTAGTAGCTAATTATGTCTTTTTCGAATTTTATAGTCAAATAAAGGATATTTAGGGGTTTTTTAAAGTTCTTAACTATGCGATTTTTGCAGACCGTACAATGTCACTCAAACGACGTCGTACCTGCACACTTACTAATGCACCTCGGGAAGTATATAACACAGTCAACATCCATTAAAGATCTTTATGAAGACTTGGCATAATTCGGGAATCTAAAAACTATATTTTAAATCTGAATATACCCTTCCTTTGAGTATAAAATTCGAATGAGACGTAATTCTCTAGCTTTTTCTACACGATATATTTTAATTTATAGACGTAACGCAACTCGATTATGAAAACGTAGTACTTAAATAGTCCTGCTGTTAACGAGCGTGGTTTTTTTAGGCGGCCGAAAAGGAATGCATTCAAAAGCTGGCATACTGATGTGACTAAAATATCTTGGAATTATGCTACAAGCTAATAAATGCTAAAATCCTACTTAAGAAGGTCTTCCTAACAACACCTAAATAATCCTCCCCCCTTCTAATCTAAAATGTATTTTTTGAATATCAGTTAACACTTCATGAGCCAGTAGACCTCAGCGCGGCCCTTAGTGCTCCGGCCAGTGAAGGTAGGGCTCGGCGGACAATAGTTTCTCGGAGCGACTCGTTAGAGGGATTATTTCCGGTACTTTTACGACTCGAAGACGGACCTCCTATCCACCAATATGACACACCCACTCAAGGCCAAAATAACATGCCGGGTGGTGAGCGGTGAAGCCTTATCTGAGGGCAAACAGCATTCATCCTGCAGGAACGCGATTGGTGGGCATATTTGCGCCAAGTTTGCAGAGGGATGCCCAGACAGGCCTGGTGCTTCTTCTGCTGATGCAAGGTCCACAAATGCCTGTTCACAGACCCGGGATCTGGTCGATTCGCAGCAAGCTGTCACCTGTGGACTCGCCTGGTAGCCCACAGCTTCCAGGGACTTCTGTAGTCTTGAAACAGTCCGGTTAAAATCACTGTGAGTTCACTTACCATCTCGGCTTTTTGGACAAGAAAACGAGAAAATGCCAAAGAGGGTAAGGGTACCCATGACAGAATACAGAGGCCCATCGTCAATAAGTCCTGCTATGTACGCCTGTTTTAAATCTGTATTTTGGTTACGAGGTGCCCAAGTGATTGCTGGTATCGTGAGTACAAAGTGTGCAAGAGCTTTGACGGAAATTTCACTGAGGTCGGTCACATAAGTGGTAACAAAGGTAGATAAAATTAATTGGG